ATAGTAGGATTTCTCTCATGAAGCCATTGTGTCTGTCTTTTGATGCAGCTTTAATATTTTCCCCATCTTTGTCAGTCATTTGTGTGATTTGCTTAAATATGGTTTTCCCTGTCTTTATTCTGCTTGAAGTTGATAGATTTCTTGAATATGTGGTTTGATTTCTTTCAGCAATTTGGAAAATCTTATTTGGAAATATTTTCTTAGTCCTATTCTCTCTCTCCTCTTACTCTTCTAGATCTCGAATTACAACTAGGTTAGACATTCTTATGCTACATCTTATGTTCTGTGTTTTTATACCCTTTTAACTCTCTCTCTCTGTGCATTAACCTAAATACTTTTTATTCATTTCTCTTCTTTACCAGTCCACTGTTCTGCTGGCTCTAGATAGTTCTTCAACCCATCCATTCTCAATTTCAGTCTTAACTTCCCCCCACCCCGCCCCCACCCTCAGTTCTAGGACTTTTCATTTAAGTCTTCTAACATGGGTTCCAGCTCTCTGTTAAAATTATCTGTTATTTTTTGAACTTTAAAACTTTAGTTATTTTGCAGTCCCCAGATAAATGAAAACTAAATTATTTGTGGGTCTATCTCTATTTCCTGTTGATTTGCTTATGGGGTTTTATTTTGCTTTTTGTAACTTTTAGATTTGATGCTAGATATAATAGATAAAAATTTGTAGAGACCCAGAATGAAATTATGTTCCTCCAAGCAGGGCTGCATTTTCTTTTGTCTTGCAAATAGAGAAGCCATGGCTGGTTTGATCCTGTCAGAAGCTGGTTTTAGACTTCACTGGGCTGCTCTGTCTCAGTTTTGTCCTTGCTCGTGAACTGTAGCCTCTTCCCAAGGTGAGAGAAAGAACAAAAGAAGACCTCTTTCAATTTTGAAGGATATTTTCACTGATTATAGAACTCAGTGTGAACCATTTTTTGTTTTCAGCATTTTAAAGATGTTGCTGAACTGTCTTCTGGCTTCCATTATTGCTAGTAAAAAGTCAGTTTATGACACGTATTCTTGTTCCTCTATATTTAAAGTATCTTTCCCCTCTGGCTGCTTTAAAGACTTTTGTCCTCCTTTTTTGAGTTTAAATTGTTTGATCATGATGTACGAAGGTGTGATATGCTTTGTATATTTATGTTGCTTGGTGTTTGGGGGTCCGTAAATTGATGTGTTTTATGATACTAGACAAATCTGGTGTAACATAGCTTCAAATATTTTTGTCACATTTTTTTCCTCTCCTTTCTTTCTGTAACTCCACTTGCCCAAGTATTTAGACTGCTTGGTCTTATTCCACAGATAATTTATTTATTTATTTATGTTTTATTGCTTTAATTTCCAATGTCTTTTCTTTCTGTTTTTCAGGTTAGGTAACTTCCAGCAGTGTTCTTCACTGGAAAGATCCCATGGACAGAAGCGCCTGGTGGGCCACAGTCCACGGGGTAGCAAAGGAGTCTGACATGACTGAGCGACTAAACAACAACCTTCAAGTTTGCTGTCCCTTGGTCCTGTCAGTTCCGTTCCACTGTGATACCCATGCAGTGACTTTTTCACTTCAAACATTGTACTTTTGTTCTAGATTTTCATTTATTTCTAATGGCTTCCATTTCTCTACTGAGATTCTCCAACTAGTTGTTCATTGTGACCTTTAATACTTCAACATAGCTTTAAGAGTTACTGTAAAATTTCTTTCCTGTCAGTTTGTACAACTGGGCTATCTCAAAGGAATTTTCTTTGACAAGTTTTTTAAGTAGGGATCACGTTTTTTCTGGCTTTTCACTTGCCTACTGTTTTCATTGTACTGACGCTGTAAGATCACTGTTGTCTTCCTTCAGTGGGCGTCGGTGCTGTCCTTGTAAATCCCCTTGGCCTGTCTGACTTTTATTCTTTGCACTGTTTGTAATGCGGGGAAACAAAATTTTGAATTTTGTTCTAAAACATACTTTTTAACTAAGGTGCGACCCTTAAAGGATGGTCTTTCTCGCATCTCAAGGAAGTGTTTAGTAAGTTCTCTCTACCTCACTGAGCTGGAACTCCAGTGCCTCGCAACACTGCATGACATGCAGCAAGCAATTTCTGCTGGGCCTTGCATCATCTTGTCAGGGCTACATTCAGCTCAGCTCTTGGCCAAGGACTCGGGGTTAATTTCCATGCAGATTTCTTGGGCCCTCTTTTTCACAGCTACAGATTTTCAGATATTCAGATATCTATAGATACCTATATTCAGATATCTCAGATATTCTACCCTGCCCATTTCAGGCACTTCAACAGCCCAGACCTCCAAACCCTCCCTTCTTAACTAAGACCACTGCTCCACTTGCACCACCCCCTCCCCCAAAAGTGTCCTTCAGCAAAAACCAGGACAGTTATGAGATGGTCATGGAGCACACTTCATGTGTTTTCCGTTTGTCAAAGATCATAGCTGTGTGCTGCCTATTACCCAGTGCTTGAAAAGATCTGCCTTATCATTTTGTCCAGGTCTTATAGGTTTTTTCAGTAGGATAACAAGTCAGGTACCTATTACTTTCTAAGTAATAGACAAGTAATAGGTAAGTAATAGGCAAGTCTTTGGTGCCCATTAATTTAAATGCACATTGAGATTTAAATGATTGATACTAGAAATTTTCATAAAAGCAATTTCTGACAAAGAATAGGTAAAAGTGAAAGTTAGCCGCTCTGTCGTGTCCAGCTCTTTGCGACCCCATGGTCTGGAGCTTGCCAGGCTCCTCTGTCCATGGATTTCTCCAGGCAACAATACTGGAGTGGGTAGCCATTCCTTTCTCCAGGGGATCTTCCTGACCCAGGGATCAAACCCAGGTCTCCTGCATTGCAGGTGGATTCTTTACCGTCTGAGCCACCAGGGAAGCCCCATGAATGCAGATAGTATATCAGATAAAAACACAGAATATATATCATTAAAACTTTTTTTCCTGTTAACTGTATCCATCTAAGAGAATCATATACATAAAAATAAAGATTAAGTTTGAAATCTGAAGAGTGTTTTCATTGCCCTTAAGGGCTTGCTCCCTTTCCCCTTTAGTCACTCCTAAATTCTTTATTAATAAAGTTTATTAATAAATTTGTTATGCATATGATTCTCTGACATGCACAGATTTAGCAAGGAAAAAGGTTTAATGACATATATTCTGTGTTTTTATTTGATACATTATCTGTATCATTACATATATATAATAATACTAGATTTAGAAAGCAAAAGAAATAGTTTTTCTTTCCCCTCCTTGATCTGCTCTGTTAATACACAATGTTCTCTTTTCAAATCATTGATTCTAAGTTGGAAATACTAGACTTTTGAATCACTGGTTAGTGAGTAGCTAAATCGGGGTCACTGCCTTAGGAAGAAGCCAGTTCAGACTGAAACACAAATGACTATTTGGTTAAAGAAGTAACTGTCCATTTTTAATGGGTGGAGATGGCTTGCTAGTAAATTAGTTTTCTCTCTGCCCTGGGAGATTAGACAAACAATGGATCTAACTAAGAAAATAGACTGACTCATTTGGCTACAATGCTATACTAAAGTTACAAGCAAAGTAACATTAATATCCAGAAAGAGAATTGGGTTCTGTATACAGTAAATGAATTTTACAATCAATTCAATGAGAAGTGAAAAATGAGATATTAAATATACAGACCTAAAAACACTCTGAACTCTGTCTTTCCTAACTCATCATCTGCTATAGCAAGGTGGAAATCATGTGCAATTTACTTAACTCCTCCTTAGAATGGTAGTTTTCGTTGGAAGAGAGGTGAGGTTTGTAATAACTTTCTTTCCTCCTAATTTTCTTGAGCATTTCCCAGCTTATAGTAGTGAGCAGTCCATCTCAGTACAGACGACGTGGGAGGAAAGTCACACCTGCTGGGCAGGAAGAGAATTTGTACAGGGCTAATAGTTGATCATAAGTGAATAGGGGTGGAGAATGTTAGAGACAGAATCACAGGCCTGGAAGAGACAAGTCACCTGGTCCCGACTGCTTCTAGATAGGACAGGAAGAAGTGTCTATGTGAACCTTTCTCACATCTGGATTTAGCTTTTCTTGAACTTTTTTAGCCTTTGCCATTCACCAAGGCTGACTTCTTCTCTGCAAGTCATGAGGTACTTCTCCTGCCCCGGGACAAAGTCCTTTGGAGTGGATTTCATTAGTTTTGGGGATGGTCCTGATCTCATTCCAGGAGGTCTGTTTCAGGTTTAGGTCATTCCACTGGCCTCATCTACAACTGAAGGGCAGATCTCCTGGCCACTCCATAACTCCCGGGTGGGGAGGAAAGGCCTCTAAGCTGATAGTCACCCTCCATGTATTTCTAACTCCCCTCAGCTGGGAGATGCGCTGAGGTGGATGGAACTTGAGTTTTTCAGGTAGTTTCAGGTCTCACTGTCCAGGAGAAAGGCGTACAACTGCCTGCCTTTCCCAACATACACACCCACACCTCTACAGTATTCACTAGTCGCTGGGAGTGTGGACAAAGGAGAATGGACGTCAACTTTAGCTTACTCTTCTGCTTCAGCCAGGAAAAAGGTTTATGAGCAAAGCACAGACGTCAATGAGATATTTCTTGCAGTTTGGTGCCTTTCACATCACTCTCCTCCTCCCCGTAACCGCCACCCCGCGCACACACACACACACAACCAGCTTGTGCACACACTGTGAGCAGAAACACAGCCCGCTCCTCTTCGGCCCCTCCCTCCCTCCCGGCACAGACTGATCAGAACTTCCCCTGGGTCGCGGCCCAGCGATATGGAGCGGCCCTGGCGCGGGGCCCTGCTCTTCCCGAGTCGTGGGTGGCGCGGTGCTTGCTTCCCTCCCCTCCCTTTCCGGACCCAAACGGGGATGTATCTGGGTCAGCCTGGGAGGGGCCGGACCTGCCAGGGACCAGCGGTTGAGAAGGGGGTGGGGGGAAAGGGGTGGCGATGACAGCATCTTTCAGGTTTTTGGCTTTTCTGAGAATCGCCCCGTCCAGCTTCTCACCTCGTTCGCGCCGAGCGAGAGCTGATGCTCCGGCCAGTCTCAGCTCTAGGAGTAGGGTGTGGGGAGAGCCTGTCCTTCCTATCTGGACCGCCACCCCTCCATTCCCTGCGAACAATACAGCGCCCACCCAACCCCCAACACGCACACACATTCCCCAAGGCATGCTCCGCGGGCGGGCTGGCGGCGGGTCCCCCCGCCCCAGGAAAAGAGCAATGGAACAGTTCACGGCCGCCGCGAGTTCCTGGTCTTCCTTCCTTTCCGGTGATAAACGGCGGGGCTACAATCCAGTTGCTGCTCAAGATGCTCCACCCGCGGGCTCCAGCCTCTTTCCCTCGGCCCTCCGGGGGCCCAGATCAGGACCGGTGGCCCCTCTACCTCCGCCAGGCGCATAAAGCCAAGCGCCCGGGCGACCAGAGGCGCGACCAGGGCTGGGGCGCGGACCCTCGGCGGGCTCCTGCTGCCTCGCTTCCTCCCTGCGTGGTCTTTTGCGCCAGGGAGGAGCTGGGTGTGCGTAAAAGCCGCATCTTCCCCAGACGCTAAGGCTGAGTACGCCCGGGTGAGGTCCGGAGGGTCAGGGACCTTCCTGGCTCCCCTCCCAGAGAGTTTGTATATAAGCCTAGCACAGAGGAATCAAGGCCACAGGTCCTCGTTTCCTTGAGGCCTGGCCCCTCCCTCCCCAACCTTGCTCTGCTTAGCTCCAAATTTACAAGTGTTTGCTCTTCCTTTCGGTGTTAGGGAGAGAAGCGGCGGAGCGAGTTGAAAATCAGCTCTGGCTTTCTGCCTCCAGTACACAGCTGTCTCCTTTCCCTCTGCCTCGTTCCCCCACATTGCACGCTGGGGGACTTCTGCAGCCTCGCCTATCCGGAGCGCTTGGTCCCGCAGCTGGGGACCCACTGATGCTCTTTGACCCGGAGCTTCCCGAAAGGTGCCTGCCTCCGCGGGTGCTCCAGGCCACGCAGAGCTGTTTCTTCCTCTCCACCTCACTTCTCACTTCACCCACAGACCTCTCCTGCCATCATTTCATCCAGCCTTATATAAAACACCGCCCCCCCACCGCCTCCGCCACCCTACCCGGCGCAGCGCCCCCTCCCTCGGCTGCGCCTGGGCGGGCAGGGAGCTGAAGGGACCGGGACGCGCGGGAGGCGCGCAGAGCTCTCCAGCAGCCCGCGCTCGCCGCGCCTGGGGAATTGGCTGTGGGCGAGGCGGCCCGAGCTGGCCTTTATCGCTCGCCCCGCTGGTCGCTTGAAACTTTATCAGCGAGTCTCGCCACTCTCCGCAGACGCGAAAGGGGGGCGGGGGCGCGGCGAGGCGCCGGCGGCCGTGACGAGGCGCTCCCAGCGCTGAGCGCTTCTGCTCCGGGCACGCATGGCGCCCGCACAAGGAGTCTGACCTGATGCGGACGCAAGGGGGTTAATATGAACGCCTGGCTCGTCGGCATCTGGCTCTGGCTCCCTCTGCTCTTCACCTGGCTCAGCCCCGAGGTCAGCTCCTCATGGTGGTAAGTCCCCGCGCACGGGCGCCGAGGGATTTTGGAGATAGGAATGGAGACCGCACTGGTCACACAGATCCTTCCCGGCGGCGCTTCCTCGCGGCCGTGGCAGTCACGGATTCCGACCCGATCCCAGCGGCTGCCCTCTCCTATCACCCCTTCGCTTTTCCTCTGAAGGCCATTCCGGCTTTGACAACTCCAATCCTTCCACCACTACCCCCACCCACTACACACACATTGCCCCTCAAACGAGAGCTCGGATGTTTGGTTTATTTGGATCCAGCTGAGTGACAGCAAAATCGGGATCTTTTAGACTAGCGCTAGCCGGGTCTCTGGCTCCACTAGCACAGACGTCTGTGTCTGCGTGCGCACGCGCGCGCGTGTAAACTCACCTCCAAAACTACAATCGTACCCCTCTGCTCCCACCCCGCAAAACCCTCAAGGTACACCGACGGGCCAATTCAGGCAGGCGCGAGCCGTAGAACCCAATGCGTGTGATTCTGCATTATTTCTCGTCCTTCCACATTCCTAGTGCTTCATCCCAGTGGGGAGGAAGAACGTGTTGCTGCCCCCAGGTACAGACTCCCGCCTTAATAGAAAGCTCCAGAGGTCGGGGACTCGAAGCCCTTACCCCGTTAGAAACCAGTCATCTCAAAGGGTAACTTTGCTGCTGTGCCTTTATACAGTGACCTTCTGTCTCTTTTGCAGAGTGAAGGAACTTTGAAACCCAACAAGGTTATCATCCTTAAATGTTACAAGGGGAGAAGCTTTCCCCACCCACAAACTCTTCTCCATCTCCTGATCTTGAGAAGAGAGAGTTGAGAACTCTAACGTTTTTGCACCTAAAAACTTCAGAACAGACACTTAAAACTCAATTTAGAAAGATCGGTTATCTGTTATGAAGTGCTTTTTTTTTTTAAAGAATCTGGCAAAAGTAAGGTATCTTGGCCAAATGAAAGACTAGAGCAGGAAACTTTAGAAAGACACAAGCTCTCCAAAGAAGCAATGCAAAGGGTTGATAGGAAGAGGGGTTCAATTCCTTCCTAAGCTGCTTTGAACAGAAAGGCGTTTAGCCTTGACATTGCTGACACAGGATCAAAGATTGATTTATCAGAATGACCATTTTTCAATAAAATGACTATTTCTGTTTCCATGGGTGTATAAACATTATTTACTGCCCAGGCTTTTTGTCACATTGTCTCTCAGCTGTCACTTAAATATATTTTTGGGGAGTCACAGCTGTAACGATTTTATGATCATATAAAATAATGAAAATACAAGAAAAAGACATTCTCCTTGTTTGATCGCTTCAAAAGACACCTATGGCAGCTTGGGTTATATAAAAGGTACCTTTCTAAACATTTCACAACTAATAGAGAACATCTGGGTAGAGATGATGATGTAATTTTTTGTTAAAGTTTCTTTTCAAAAGTACTTTATGAAGCTATAACAGTTTGATTCTTCCAAACATTTAGTATCCTTAATAACAATAGAAAGATTTTTTTCCAAGGGTTCTCTATAAAAGCCAAAAAGAGCTGGAAAATGGAAATATTTAAAGGATTCTTTAGTAGGAAAAGAATGGCATGTCTGTGCAGAGAGTGTAGCATCAGATCCCAGTAGGTGCTGATTAGACAGTTTCTTTAAGACACTTAAACATCAGATCAACAAAATGGCAGTGAAGAGCTTCTAAAGGTCTACTTCTTCCGAAGCCAAGTCTAGACACACCGTGTATTGAGATCAGAGCCTTCTTGAGAAAAATGTCTTCCAAAAACCTGTTGGCCCTTCCCCTCTCACCCCATTCCTGGACTGCAGACCTCGCCTCTCCCACTCTGCCCAGAGCCTCATCTGGTGGCCTTGGCTTCATGGCCAAGAAACAGTCAGCACTTAGTTTTGGGGTGGCTTCTACCAGATCACTCACCATACCTGCCATGCCACTTCTCCAGTGAACTTGAGTTTAAAAAAACAAAACAAAGCAAATTTTGCTTTCTAATATCCCCTAAAGGATAAAGAATTCATATTTGAAATGCCATTTTGAACTTATCCCACTCCAGGGAGACACCCTGCCCGGCCTTGCCATTCAGTACTCTCTCCAACGTTGGTCCTCCCTAGGTACATGAGAGCTACGAGTGGCTCCTCCAGGGTGATGTGTGACAACGTGCCAGGCCTGGTGAGCCACCAACGGCAGCTGTGCCACCGACACCCGGATGTGATGCGTGCCATTGGCCTGGGCGTGACTGAGTGGACGATGGAGTGCCAGCACCAGTTCCGCCAGCACCGCTGGAACTGCAACACCCTGGACAGGGATCACAGCCTCTTCGGCAGGGTCCTGCTCCGAAGTAAGTCTCTCGCCTTCACACAGCTCATGGGCTCTGCGCTCACATACACACACCCTTATTTGGGCTTCACAGTCCCTGCCCGTATCGTCTTGCATTCTGTTCAGTCAAGAAGCTTGTTCTGTTGGGTGCCATAGGCCCTGTTTTACAGATGTGGGCTCAAGAAATCAAGAAGCCTGTCTAAAGTTTTGGAGGAGGCTAGTCATGGGTCAGGATGCAGTGTCCCTTGGCTCTGTCCATCCATGTCCCGTCATAACCCTGCCTGTCCCTCTAGGTTCAGATTTTGTCTCTAGGAGAAAAGGAAGCAGCACCCACAGAGCACTCTTGACTTTTAAACTCTTCTTTCTGGGACCTGACCCTTCCAGGAGGATTTAGCAGAAGATTGGGAAAGAATGCCCACATCTTTTATTGGCCATAAATGGTCATTGTTACGATAACAAATCAGTGTGATTGAGAAGCAGAGAGAAACCTCTGCTTGTCACCTTTGACCTCCCATTCAGCTACTCAGTCTTGGGTCACTCTGTTCCTAAACTTTTTTTTTCAGTAAACTGTAAATTCTGTAAGGCAGGGGCTCATTCTGCCCTCTCTGCACCTAGCTTGTATCTCATATGTTGTAGGCAGCACTCATTCATTGATTGGTCGAATGAATGAATGGATAAACTTGCAGTGAGTACCTATTCTCCAGGTACCTTTTAGGCAGAAGGATATTTATGGAAGGTAGGGTGAGAACCATGAATACATCAAGGTAGACCTTGGAGATATTGCAGGTTTGGTTCTGGATCACTAGTCACTACAGTAAAGCAAGTCACATGAATTTTTTTGGTTTCCCAATGCATATAAAAGTTATGTTTAAATTATATATATGTATATTGCATCATGTATACGTGTCTATTAACTATTATAAAAACAATGTACATACCTTAATTTTAAAATATTTTATTCAAAAAATGTTGTCATCTGACAATGCAGGGTTGCCACAAAGCTTCCATTTGTTAAAAAAAAAAAATCACAGTATCTGTGAAGGGCAATAAAGTGCAATAAAATGGGGTATGCCTGTGGTTTCTTTACTTTTTTTAGAAAGCACATTGAAAATTATCTAATTACATAATAAACTTAAATGTTCTGAATGTGGAAAGTAGCTCACTAGCTTGTATACAAGCAGAGAAAATTAACTGAAAATCAAATCCTATTTTAAAAAATAAAAACCCATCCCTTAACCTGGCCTTAGCAGCTTCTTCAAGAAGCCGCACATCCCATTTGCTACTGGGAAATCTGACTGAAAACACAACAGTCTATGTGTGAACCCCAGAAACAGGAAGCTTTCCTCTTGTTTTTGCCCACCGCCCTCCCCTACCCCCTTCCTAAGAAAATCATTCGGGCTGTGCACTTGGTAATGCTTAACAGAGGGTGTTTCTATCATGTAATCATCATAGCCCTAGGGTTTTATGAGGCCAAACGCATAACTGAATGTCTCTAAAAATCCCCCAAGGGCGTAGTGCTCTCACTCTTAGTGTATCCCTAAAGTTAATTTACTGCGATATTCTGCAATTTTATTCTCTAGTTTAAGAACTATATTCTTTTGCATTCCTTTTGGAGTTTCGATATGACATCGCAAAATTTTTGAGAGGATGATAATAATAAATTTCAGCTACATGGAATTTTAAGACTTCACCTAGATTAGCTCACCAGTGAATCAATCAAAGTGCTGGACCTTGTCAAAGAGAGTTTGCAAATATCTGGCACAAGAAATCTTTGCATATATTATGTACAGGCTCTCGGTATTTAAGATGTATTAGGACTGTTCCTTTTCAAAGTTCTCACAACCATTTCCAATGGTTACAAATTAAGAGTACCTCTTATTTATAAAATGATCACCTACAGAGTCTGTCTATGAAAATCTCCATAATAAAAAAAACCCCTTCAGATCACAAATCAAAGGAAGCAAGTTTGACCACTGATCCTAAAGACAGTATATCTCCCAAAGCTGGAGATTCATTCATAAAATACTTTAACTTAATATCGGCAATATTTGTTTCTTCAGAGCTGTACCGTGGCTGAGAGGAAAAAGGTAATAAATAGAGAAAGCATAACAAGTTTGACTCAATCGAAGGCTTCAGGTAAATTAGAGATTATAACTGTATTTCCTTCAGATTTCTTTCATATGAAGCCGAATGCTCTGCCAAAGCACTCAAAACTTAGAACACTCATGCTACACAATTTCTTTCCAATCTTCACAGAAGGCCAGATTTCTTCCTGGACATTTATGTAAACTCCTGTGACTGTCAGTGATGATTTTGTGTTGGTTATGGGAAGGCTGAATTTGGCCTAAGGTAGCTTATCCTGGAAATAATCACAAAATTCCAGTGAAACTATCCAAAGAGTTTTACAATTAATTGCTTGGAGGGAAACTCATATCTTAGAGTTGTAAAGGACTCTCCTTCGGAAACCTAAATATTCTCATAGATGAATAGGAAAGGCAAGGGGCAGTTCCATAGATGAGGAGAACATAAAAGTTACTAACATACCCTGTGGTCACAGACAAATGGAGGATATTTGCCTCTTTTGCTTCAGAGAACAACAGTAAGACCAGAACAATTTTTAGGAACTTTTGTAATTTGCTCATTGAACTGGCTGTCCCCAGACATGGGCAGAGATATGTAAAGACAGAACTAGTAAACTTAAAAATAATCCTACAAAAATTTGCATATACCTCCAGAATTCTAGAGTAAGCCTTAAACAAAAAAAGGTCATTAGGTAGCATCCTTGCTTTAAAAAAAAAAAAAAAAGCAAGCATTTTAAAAAAGAGCTGCACAATCCATAGCCTTCCAGAAAGCCTAGCTTCTAATGTTTTGCCCTCCCAGTCACCTGTGCTAGCCTATACACTGAGTAAGCACTGCTTGACTTATCTCAAACCAAAAATTAGAGAAACTTCAATAGTAAGTCTAAATATCACCATTCAAATTTGGATTTTGTTTAATACTGCAATGGCTTTAAGCAGAATCAGTTTTTCTAAGAGGCCTAAGATCAAAATTTATTTTGTTACAAAGCCAACTCTTGAAATGTGCTACTATTTTGCAGATAGCATTTAAGTGATTCATCTAAGACACTTAACTGAAAACATCTTAAGGCTGTATCTACATGATACCAAAACATCTGGAGGTAAAATGAAAAGTCATTCCATGTGCTATTTTTTTATTTAAATAAACAAATATCTAACTATTTAGTAATGAGTTTGAATAATAAATGACACATATTCAGAAAGGTGATGGTTTTGCTTTGGAAATTATTTCTGAAATGTAGCTGATGTTGAGTGATTTTTTTTTTTCTTTCAGCCAATAAGTCAATGTACTTGTTTGCAAGTTAAGCCAGCATGCAGTCTATGAGTAGGCAATTCACTCCTCTACCAACTTGCAAAATACTGTTTGGTCACTGACATTCTATCATCTGCATCTTCCCTAGCTTTCCCCTAAAAGACCACCTCCTAAAGTTTCTCTTCTTTCTCCTTAAAAAGTAAGATTAGTGTAAATAGATTATGCATTTGAGAGTTTCCCCCCATGTGATATCTCTAAATATGGGCACTGAACTCCAAACTCAAAACCAGTTTTTAGCAGATCAATGGGGTGACTATGGACAAGGTATTTTCTTAAACAGTAAAATGGGTAAGATAAAAATTTTATTTATCTGAAAGCTACTACCAGAGATTAAGCCACATCTCCATCTATTAGTCACCATTTTTTACAGAACATCTCAATTTCACTTAGAAAATCATATGTGATCTTTATAATATAATCTGGAATTCTAAAACAGCTTCCACGACCATCACATTTCTCTCCAGAGAGCACTACCTGCTACCTATGGCAAATATTCATATAATTGATTCTACTTAACTTCAAGGCATGATTGATTCCTTTTCTTGGTTTGTTTGATGATTAGAGGTTTCAGGGGAGATTTTTTTGAAGGCTGAGGTAAGTGCCATTTAATATGGTGTAGATACGTTTTCCTGATTTTTAATAATGAGACTAGCAGAGCAAATATTGCAAGGGATGAATAATAAATTTTAGCACTGACTGACAAACGGAAACAAGTAGGGCTTCGATGCGAAAAGGTGGTTTGTTCTCCCAGCTGCGTGGTTCAAAAAGTCACACTCGTTTTGACATACTGAGGCACCAAATGGCTCTCCATTTGCTGCCTTGCATTGGCATTAGCTTGTTCAGCTTCTAGTTTGATTGTTAATATATTTGCTGCAGCAACCATTAATAAAAAGGCATGCTAATAACAATGAAATACAGCTCCACTTGAAAAATGAGGTGCACACAGACCCTAAAGAGCCTTATATCTGTCACTATACCACAACACCGTGTTATGAGTTACTACAGATTATTAAAATAATTTAATGTAGTTATTGCACTGAAATATGTACCTTTCAGTCTGTAAGTGAAAGTAGCCTGTGCTCTAATAAAGAACAATTCTAAGAAAGCACCCCAAAGGGTTCTTGCCCACATCTAATTATAAGCGGTAAATTTGTTTCCTTCCAGAAAAACCAAAGAAAAGCTTTTCACTGTCTTTCACCCAATACCAGTGATTAGTGCAGGTGTTCCAGAAGAAAGTAAATTCACCTTAATAGTTAGACGTAGCATGTAACTCAAGGATATTGCATACTGCCTCCAAAAATCTCTCCCTTAACTTGTGCAAGTTGATGCCAAGAGGGGATGGTTACTGCCATGAACTGTCTTCCCACCTCAGCCCTTAGATTACTTTGAATTCAGCATTTCAGTAATAATCATTTACATGCATATGAGTGTTCTCAATAATGCCTGGAAGGTTTCTTCCAGGAGAGCTGTAGTGGCATGAATACCAAAATATGTTATGGAACGACAGAGTTGTAAAATTCAGACTGTATGGTGCAGAGGAGGAAATGAAGGCCTGGATACATTTGTCTCCTCTCTTCTGAGACACATGAGATTCTAGGTTAAAGAAAGAGCATGTATGAGACTAATGTGTACAGGGCAGGCTCCTGCTGTATTTTCTTTTATACTCTATTTACTTTAAGGATAGTTGTTACACAGTTATCCAAATTGACAAAGGCTTGTAATAAGTGCAGTGATTCATATTCAAGAGCGAGCCTTGGCTCTAGGAAAGAATTCTTCAAGAATACTTTGTCAGAGGCAGAACAAGTATTGAACAGCCATCATGTGAAAGTCATTCCCAACAAGCCATTCCAGACTACTTTTAAGAACAGCATTTTTGTTACAGGTAGCCGGGAATCTGCATTTGTTTACGCCATCTCTTCAGCTGGAGTTGTATTTGCCATCACCAGGGCCTGTAGCCAAGGAGAATTAAAATCCTGTTCCTGTGACCCAAAGAAGAAGGGAACCGCCAAGGACAACAAGGGCACTTTTGACTGGGGTGGCTGCAGTGATAACATTGACTATGGGATCAAGTTTGCCCGAGCGTTTGTGGACGCCAAGGAAAGGAAAGGCAAGGATGCCAGAGCCCTGATGAATCTTCACAACAACCGAGCCGGCAGGAAGGTATGGACTGCGACAGTGCTCACTGTGTAGACTGCATGGCCTTATAAATCACTTAAGCCAAGCTTATCTTAAACTTTCCGAGAGTTACAAAAATGCTTGTCATCACAGCTTCCCATTGTCCCCCAGCCCAGAGCTGTTTGCTCTACAGAATACCACCGACCGGGCTGAAATATCCCCCCTGCACTCCACCTTCCCTGCCACAGCGGAGGTGAAAGAGCCCACCCGCTGCTTTTGGCAGTGTGTACAGTCAAGGGTCTGGTCTCTCTGGATACTGTGCCATGTAGTCACAAGACAGCATCTGTGGCTGAGACTAGCGATGCATCCCACATACCGATGGGACAGTGAATGCTTGGGTCTAAGGGGTGTCAAGACCAAGAACATCTTCTCTCAAACTTACATGCAGCTCACCAGGCATGGCTTGTTGGCTTCTTCTAGATTCAGGGAGGCTCTTTTTAGAACCAGACCCCAGTTTCAATCTTGAAAGCCCCACCTTGGGTTTTCCGGTACTGGATGAGTAAATGCACCAGGGGAAGACATGCCCCAAAGAGGCACTTTGGCCCCTTAACCGCTAGTCCTACCTAACTTTTTGGGTATCTGGTCAGTATTCATTCCCTAACCCCTATTTGTTAGACGAGGAAACAGACCCTCCAGAGCTCAGGTCACCTGCAGAATCAGAAGAAATGTCAGGACTAGAATTCAGGTTCCACCTCCCGGCCTCAGGGTGGTTTGGCCTAGGATTAAACCATTTTAATGCCAGTGCTCAATCCACTGATGAGCCATGTTTTGGGATATGGTGGCATGACCAGAATAACTAGAGAATCTGAATGCTGCATGTTAGGCCTTTGTGTAAAGAAAGCATAAACCAGTTGGGCTAATCAAACACTCAGTCAGAACCATTCTAAAATAACCTAATTGCCAATGAGAGGAGATAACCATAATTTGTCTTTTATCAACACAAAATAAAAATGTGCTTGATATTAATATGTAAAGAAAGATCAGCATAAAATTGAAAAGTCCCCAGGGGGGCTTTAATAGGAAAAAGAATAGAAAAGAATGCAGATCTGTTTGGATGAAAACCCTTTTACTAGGCTCACAGAGAGAACAGATCTCATTTAAAGGAAGTTGGAAGGAAAGAAGTCTTGCTTAGCACATGGAATAAGATGAGTGTGACCTGAACTGTTTACAAATAGTACCTTCTTGAACTTTGCAAATCAACATTCCTTATTTTCATGAATTTATGAACTTACAGTGACTACTGCCAAGAATATAGACTATGGTTGTGCAATCCTACAACTATTGGTAATTACTGTTTATGCAATGGCTCAGATAAGGAAAAATTTACATTGACCTTTGTTTTGACATCGATACCACATATATAGGTTATAAAGTGTGGTGTCTTTGATAGGAGAATGCTGCTCAATTATTCAAGCACAATAGACAGATCTCTCAGACTATCTGTACAGATAAGACCATATGGTCATACACTGCATCCAAAATAACATTGACTCGTCAAAATAAATGTTAATTTTGCTTAGTAGGTCATTAGATATTGAATGTTTCCATTCTTCAAGACAATAGATCTCAGCTATTATACTGTAGGCTCTGAATCAATATGACTTTTAATGTAAATCACATGATTCCTCACTGGGTAGAGGTGAACAGCTGTCAGGCCTCAGATATTCTCCTGCCTACTCTGCAAAACTTAGGAGGCTACTTTTGATTGGAATAAAAGTGCACACACTGACTTTTTAAAATGTGGCTTTAATTAATGGTGGGTGGGCAGACTTTTTCAAGGAGATGCATGATGTCAGTGAATATGAACTTTAATGAGAGTAAATGTATTGAGATAAACATGCGTCTCTAATTCTCTTCTTGCGGTCATTAGACCCCCAGCCTCTGCTCCCCCTTCTTACCAGCAGAAGGTCTGTGGAATCAAAATGAGAACAGGCTGGGCTGTGTTTGAAGGCAAACCTCCTGAGCTAAGCCTCCAACTGGCCTGGCTCTAGTAAACCCGAGCCTCCAAGGCTGACAGCAACATTGATTCATTTGTTTTTTTATTCTTTGCTTTTCAGTATTTCCCAAATTGTCCAATATGAACATTTCCTACTATTTTAAATGGGGGTGGGGGGGAGGAGTTGGGCCAATACATTTTAAAAGAAAAGCCATCTATTCCAAGATTGTTCTGTTTAGCCAATGCTACACATGAGAATTCAACAGTGCCATCACAACAGGCCTTAACTTCCCTAATATTTGAGCAGTTTAATTCCTTTATTTTACAGCTGGTTAGAGCACCCTCATGTGTCTCTGTACTGTAATATCATTTTATATCTGTACTGTTATATTATTTTATTTTCATCACACCTTCAACAGAATTTCTAATGATGTTTTCCTGAAACTCATCTTGAGTCTAGTTTTCTACCTCCAAATAGGGCTATTAATAAGTCTTGAAAAGATAAACCTACCTTGTTTAAAACAAACATTTTATGGGAAAAGACACTCCATAGCTTCTCTCAGAAGTTCTTTTTAGATCTAAAGAAGCCACACTATGAAAGCTTGTAAACTGCATTGTAAGGTAGGTTAAGGTAAATGACAAGCCAAAGGTACTTGGTTGATATCCACCACTTGTTTCCTCTCAGGATCCAGAAAATGGCTTTTATAGTAATCCACTCTTTCTATATGAAGTAATCCCAACTTCTTTTATGTTTCCTGAGAGACTCTGTCTCAAAATAGTCCATGTACCCAATCAAATACTGCCCTTCAATCACTGGACATTTCCATAATAAGAGAGGAATTCCATAAAGATATTTTCCTGCAAAAGTATTTCTTACCATAGTGAAGATGGAACATAGGATGTGAAGCAAGACCTACCTTCATTTTAACCCTGCAATACCAGTGGCTTAGATCCCTGAATTCAGCTCTCTCAGATGTAAAAGGGATTACAGAATGCTATGGAAAGACAAGGGAAGTGAACATAAGGGAACTTGGCACATAGTAGGTGTTTAGTAAAAGTTAGTCCCCCCTCTTCCTCCCTTTGTGATGTGAAGGTTATCTGTAATCCAGGGTACAGAATCAGGCACAAATCCAGTTTGAGCTGGTACTTAGGATTCAATCTGATCTCTGCAAGTACCCAGAGACTCATCTTCAAATACAATCTGACATACTAATAAAAAATAGGCATACAGTATTCCCTAGTGTACAAAAGACCAGCAAAATCCTTTGTAATTTGATTTTCTAAAAACCCCTAAAGGAATAAAAAATAGTATTGGTATTTTTGTTTTTCAAATAAGGAAACTGGGTCTCAGAGGGATCAAGTGACTAACACATAGGCACACAGTCAGGAAGTACTGGGCTTGGGGGCTCAAACCCTCTGCGCTCACCCTTTTGTCTTTATCCACCTTTCCGTGTTGTCTCTGTTGAGAAAGATAAACACACAGTATTTCTGTATTTTAAAAAATTAAAAACAAAAACAGCAGCAGCTGCTGCCCTTGGAAGGTAGTTTACTGATGATTTTTCCCCTTCGTGTATGTCTTTAATTTCACAAGTCTTCTACAGTGAATATGTATTATTATTTTTAATAAAAGGGAAAACTTTGTTTTAAATGCCAAAAACATAACTTCTAGTCACCATGAGCATGCCTAAAGCAACTCAGCCTTATTTGGTGGGATTCCCAAAATTTCAACTCAAGGCACAGCAAGTATGCGCCGTTGGGTTAAATTTGGGGGAAGCACTGCTCCTGGTACTATGTCATACGCAGAAAAGGATAAAACAAAGTTCCGACCACAAGAAACTAAGTCTGAGTCGGGGAGACAAGTGAAATACAATTGCGAGGAAGCCCTATACTATATGGTATAGTAGAAAAATCACCCAACAGAGCCAGTCAGTTGAGGAGAGAAAGGCTATGTCAAAAAAGAACTGGATGTTGGAGAGAAAGGTTTCCCATGACTGAGATAGGGCAAACGCTTTCCAGGATGAAGGGCCTCCAAGTCACAGAAAGATATGAAAGCAGAAAAAACATCAAAAGTGAGGAATGACAAGGGTCCCAAAGGAGCTCATGACTTAGAATTAATACGGCCTGAGGCTGCAAATCTGAGTCTTGGCCAGCTGTGGAGAGCCTCAAATGCCATGCTGAGAGATTCAGATGCCGCTGTGAAGCAACAGGAAAGTACTGAACAAGATGGTACTGAACAGGAAGGGGGAGATGTTAAATACTCAAGTTTTATTTCTATGCATTGTTAATTTCTCTAGAGTCCACTTTAAAAGAATGATAGATTTCAAAATTCAAATCTTCTGGTTTGAATGAACAACTTTAAAAAATGGACTCACTAGGAAATTTATGAGAAACTTTTACCTCCCTGAATTTTATTTTCAGCCTTACCTATACATATAAAGACTGATACAAATAGTAAGCTTCCTGATGAGTAGTAATTAAAAATTAGCATATGGCAACTGATGTTCTGTTGCTATTTATATTTTTAACATAATGTTTACATTGTTATTGGCATTTCTCTTATAGCTCAGGGGGTAAAGAATCTACCTGCAGTCTGCCTGCAATGCAGGGGACACAGGAGACATGGGTTCAGTCCTTGCATTGGGAAGATCCCCTGGAGAAGGAAATGGCAACCCACTAGAGTAGTCTTGCCTGAAGAAGCCCATGGATTCTGCCAGAGGAGCCTGGCAGGCCACAGTCCATGGTGTCACAAAGAGTGGGACCCACCTGAGCACGAGCATGGACAGACTGACACTGTTATTAGCTCATTAGGGTGCTCAGCTATTGACAGCATGCTGGCTGAGGCAACATGGAGGCTGGGACTCTGGAATTAGAACACTGGTTCTAAAACTTGAGCACAATCTTGGACAGGTTACCTAGCAAGGATTGCTGCATAAAATATATATACACATATGCACCAGGTTTTAAGCAAGCCTAGAAGATAGGTATCATTATTATCCATATTTTGCATATGAAGAGACTAATTTCAGTTAGGGAATAAGTTCAACTTGTT